CATACCCCGAAGGTTGTTCAATATAGATTTCTTCTTTAAAGAAACCGTTAAGAAATGCAGATTTCACATCAAGTTGATAAATCTCCCACTTGTGCTGGGTAGCCAAAGAAATCATTAGCCTGATAGTCTCCAATTGGGCAACTGGAGCAAACACCTCTCCATAGTCAATTCCAGCTCTCTGCTTATAACCTTTTGCTACTAACCTTGCTTTATAGCGTTGCACTTCGCCTTGTGCATTCATCTTTGTCTTGTATACCCATTTCACTCCAATAGGTTTGTGCCCCTCAGGCAGACTGGTAAGCTTCCATGTGTCATTTTCTCAATGGCATGAATTTCTTCATCCATTGCTTTCTTCTATTTATCTTCTTGGATGGCTTCTGAGAAAGTAAGTGGATCACTATCTGCAAGTAGGCATAACAAATTCAGATCTGCTTCTTCTGTAGCTTCATATATTTCCTGCAAATTTCTCATTGGTCTTGGTTGTTTGAAAAAACTATCATCTGTTGATGCTGATGATGATGCAGCACTTCTGTGAGAAACTGGCGATCTAGGTGCCGGTATTCTATGTGGAGGAGTTTGTGGCTCATCTTGAACTTCTCTTGTAATTTCAACCAGAGCTATTGATGTTTCATCTTTAAGAATGAGTTTTGCATCTTTGACAACTTCATCTTGATTCCAGTTCCAAGTTTCTTCTTCTTCAAATATCACATCTCTATTCATGATTACCTTTCTGGTAATGGGATTATACAACTTGTATCCCATTGTTCTATCTCCATATTCGACAAGGATACATTTTTCTCCCTTATCATCAAACTTGGTTCTTCTTGCTTCTGGAATCTTGGTGTACGCAACACACCCAAATATTCTGAGATGGTTGACACTTGGCTTATGTGAACTCCAAGCTTCTTCTGGAGTCATAGAATGAAGGCCCCTAGTTGGACACCTGTTCAATAGATACACAGTACATGATACGGCTTCAGCCCAAAATTGCTTGGGCAGTCCCTTTCCTTTCAACATGCTTCTTGCTATATCTAAGATTGTGCAATTCTTCCTTTCAACAACACCATTCAGCTGTGGCGTATAGGATGGTGTTGTTTGATGCTTGATTCCATGCTCTTTGCAATAATTCTCGAAAGCATCTGATGTATATTCTCCACCTTGATCTGATCGCAATGTCTTGATGTAGTAGCCGCTTTGCTTCTCTACAAAAGCTTTGAATTCTTTGAAGATACTGAACACCTCCAACTTTCTTTTAAGAAAATACACCCATGTCTTCCGGCTATAATCATCAATGAAGGTGAGAAAATATTTATTCTGTCCATTTGACATTGGCTTCAATGGACCACACACATCAGTGTGTACTACCTCCAGTGGCTTTGTTGCTCTCCACATCACTTCTTTGGCAAAGCTAGTTCTATGATGCTTGCCAAGAATGCAGCTTTTACATATTTCATTAGTATGAGCAATATGAGGGAGCCTTTTCACCATATTCTTACTTGGCAATAGCTTCAAGCTTCCAAAGTTGAGATGTCCAAACCTCAAATGCCATAGCCAGTCTTTGTCTTTGATGATGGCATTTAAACACTTCGCAGCATCATGTTGGATGTTCAATGCAAACATCCGATTCTTGGACATTCTCGCCCGAGCGATCAAATTACCATGATTGTCTTTGATGGTAAGATGACAATCTTTCATGCTGATGTCGTATCCTTTCTCTAGGAGTTGTCCCATAATCAAAGTGTTGTTCTTCATGGCAGGAACATAATAAACATTGGAGATGTAATCATGATCTCCATTCTTGAGCTTGATCAGAATATTACCTCTTCCTTTCACTGGAGTCTTTGAAGAATCACCAAATGAGACTTGTGCTTGTACGGTCTCGTCAAGCTCAACGAACAACTCTCTTTTACCACACATGTGATTACTGGCTCCCGAATTTAGATACCAAACATTGTTTTGGTTTTCAGTGTCTCCATGGTGGACAAATAGGACTATAGGTCCAACTTTGTTTGTTTCCTCCTCGGCAAAGTTTGCTTGCTCTCCGGCTTCTGTTGTTACTCTACTTCGGCATTCATTGCTGTAACGCCCGAACTTGTGGCACTGGTAGCACTAAACATTACTTTTGTCAAATCCTGGTCGATTGTTGTAACCACCTCCTCTACCTCTTGCTCTCCCTCTTAGAGCAAAGTGTGGTTGACTTTTTCCTCCTCTGGCTGGACCTCTTCCGCCTCTTCCTCGAAAACCAGAACTTCGGTTATTGTAACCACGACCTCTTCCTCGGCTTCTTTGTGATGTCCCCCCTTGCTCGTTTCTGTCATCTCTAAAAGACAGCTTTGATTGAAGAGCTTGCTCTAGAGAACTTGAGGGAGTCTTCTTGTTGATCATTTGTTCATGAATCTCAAGTGTGCCTATCAACTCATGGTGGTCATGGCACTGAGATCCTTGGACTCTTCTATTGCTACAACAACGTGCTCGAACTTGGGACTGAGTGATTAGAGAATCTTCTCTATCACTTGAAGAGATTCCATCTTCTCTCCATATCTTCTCACCTGATTAACAATGGTCAATGTTCTGTTAAAGTACTCAGAAATTGACTCATTCTCATTCATGTGCAACATTTCGAATTCGCCACATAACACCTGGAGTCGGACTCTGATTGTCTTCTCAATTCCATGGTGTGAATTGTGAAGAATACTCCATGCCTCTTTAGAGGTTGTTGCTGCTGAAATCTTCTCAAAACTTGACTTATCAATGCCTTGATAGAGTAGATATAAGGCCTTTTTATCTCTCTTCCTTGAATCTTTTAATGCCGTCTTCTGAGCATCATTTAAATTTCCTTCATCTGCGAGAGTAGCTGGCTCGTCATATCCTCGATCCACTAACTCCCACAAATCTTGTGAGGCTAGTAGGACTTGCATTTGAATACTCCAATTTTTGGAGTTCTCCTTGCTGAGTTTTGGAAACTAGGGCTGAAAGAAATTGTTTGTGTTGGCCATTGGTTGTCTTTAAAAAAATTAAAAATTTTTAGAACGGAACTTGCAAATTTTGACCATACAGATGTATCCGGAATACTCCAAATAGTTGGAAAGCACTATTGGATCACCAAAAATAGACTCCGAATGGCTCAGATCAAGCCAAAACAAGTTGAACGACTCAGATCTGCGGCTGCACCTTAGCTGCGTTACACTGGATTAATCCTCCGTGTGCTGTTATCAGCGGCTTAGTCAACGGCTCAGTCAATACGGCTTGGTTAACGGCGCGACTCAGGCTTGGCTTGGTCAGCGGCTCAGGTCAACGGCGGCGTGGCTCAGTCAATGGCTCAGGTCAACGGCAGCGTGGCTCAGCTTGGTCAAAGTTGGTCAGTGGCTCAGATGACGTCAGTAGATGACGTCAGGCTCTGGTGCACGCGTGTGTGGCGCGTGCTTGCACGTTGGATGACGCGTCTTCTTCTCTGGCAGCGCGTATGGCGCGTGGGCGAGTGGGCGCGCCTGAGAACAGCGTCAAGAGGCGCGTGGGGCGCGTGTGGGGCCGTCCAATCTGATTTATCGACGCGGTTTTCACGATTGTGCTCGTCTCGTCGGGAGCTTCAATCTGATGTGATCAAAAATGGATTTCGACCACTTTAATTTCTGGGCAAATTTTGAAAACACACTCTGTTTTGAAAATTTTGCAGAATGGCTACAAATTCAAGCTACATTCGGCTCTGATACCACTGTTGGTGGGAGTGGGGTGCAAACCACTGTTGGTGATTCACAATGAGAGGTTTAAAACTGAACCAAACTAAAATTCAATTCACTCAAAATGATTCTGAAAAACAAACAGAGCTCTCTTGCTCTTCTTTCTTCCACACTCTCATCTATATCTGATACACCACACACAACTATATATATAGATAAACTAGCAGTGTGAACATATTTATTGCAGATACAGCTTTCAATGTGAATGTATTTAATGCGTATATGGCTATCAACCACCGCATTGATTACAACAACCAACACATTGAATGCAGCCTCCAATCAAGATTACTTCACAACACAAGAAATATGGAGAAATTTTATGGGGGAGAATTATTATTTAGTGGAACTAAAAAAACAATTAACATAAATATGGAAGAGTGTAACTAAGAGTTGCACCCTCATAATATTTGAGTTGAACCCTTTCACAAAATGGGTTGCACTTCTAATGTTTTGTTAAATTTTTTTGGTCTTACATTCTAAATTGTAATTCTCCCAATTTTATAATACACACCTTGAAAAATGTGTGTATCATATGTATCATTTAAGACTTTTCTGACATTTACTTATGACTTGTTATGTTATTAGTTGTGACTTTTGTGACATTTACTTATTATGTTATGATTTAGTTATGCCTCATCTATGACTTGGTTATGTTATGGTTAGTTATTGTGGTGTCAGTTATGACTTAGGCCCCGTTTGACAAGTTAAGTTGGGGCTAAAATAGTCAATGAGTCAAAATATCCATTCACATCATTCTCTCTATTTTTTTTTGCATATCTTTTCGTAAAAAGTTAGAAAGTTGATTAAAATAGCATATTCCCAAACATTGCATTAGTTTTGATTAATTGTGATTATCATTTTGATTATACCTTCATGGTGTTTGGTTATGACCCTACGTTATGATATATTGTGACATTGGTTATGACTCAGTTATGACCTATTATGATCGTAATTTTGATTATGACTAATTAAGTAATGACAAAAAGTGATTTGATTATAATACTTTATATTATCAATACTACAAAATGTCATAACTTATATATAATACATATTTTTTGAGGGACATGTATTTTAGCATTACCCAAAATAAGTAATATAATGTTAAAATAGTACAAGAAAAACTTGCACGTATGTTTTGGTAATTATTTTGGTTAAGCCACTGTAGTTTCCCATTAATACTTTGAGATAACTAAATGATATTAGTGTTATAAAATTTTTGCAATTATAAGTGGCTTTAGTGAGGAGTTTGAGTACAAAAGTTACCTAAAATTCCAACATGATAGGAGAGTGGAAGGCCCATGGTGTCCAACTTATTTAACATCACAGCTCCTTTTATTAAACTGTACTCTCCCCAAGTGATAACTCCAGCAACCAAATCATCCTTCTCAAAGCCAGGGTGTCCTGAAGCCACAACTCTTCCCAAACCAAAAGCATCAATGGCCTGTTCACACCCATAACCAATATATTAAGCAAATTGCAGGCATAAGTGCCAAAAGAAAGGAAAGAAGTCAATCTCTAATCCTAGAAATTAGTATATGATGCAACTCTAAAATGGAATGTTTTTTTTTTTAACCTCCCAATGAAATGAAATGACCATTCAATTAAATTAGTGAGAGAGTGATGATTTTATTCTCAATATAAATTTATTATTCCATTACAGTCTCATTCCAATAAACCAAGTACTCCATAAGGTTAGCACACAAATTTGAATCCTGTGAAACGCTCGCCCCCATGCCCCCCTTCCCTTGGGACTATCCTAGGGATCGATAGCCCCGATAATTACCCATTATATACAAGAACAAAAAGGTTTGTATGTTTAGTGTGACTCACCTCACCAGGAATAATGCCAACTGCAAAACTGTGAGCTTTCTGTGAGGAGCTGTAACTCTTCATCCTGTTTAGTTGGTAAGGATCGATTGATAAATAGAAGGTTTTGACAATAACATCATTGGAGCCAGCCTGAACTGAGAGAGAAATTGATTCAGTCTTGAGCTCAAAGTCAGATTCTTGTGGTGCACCTTCTATGTGCCTCTTAATTGTTATGAACTTGTTCATAACTTCCATGACTTCAAGGTCTTTTCAAAGCTCTGTAATTCAGATGTATGAAGAAGAAAAAGAAGAAGAAGAAGAAGAAGAAGAAGAAGAAGAAGAAGAATATGAGCTACTTATTCATATACAACCTGACTGAACAATTTGGGTTCTCCTAAGTACCTTCACTTATATAGACAGCCTCTGCTTGACCACATGGTTGGGAAGACATGTTTTTGTCATGATAAAACTTTTTCAGTGTTGGGTGACCGGTAAATAATTGAAAAAAAAATATATATATATATAGGGCAATTCGTGCAAGTGCTTATCATATGTATTTGTATAAATTTTCACAAATATATATATAAGTTATTTAACAAAATCACGTAAGTTTTCACGAATATTCGTAAGTTAACTCATAAAAATTTAAGAAATTAGAACTTAGTTATATTTGTAAAAACTTACATGATTTATGAGATAATTTATGTATTTTTGTTAAAATTTACGCAAGTCCATGTGGTTGCACACCCAAACACTTTCCAAAAATATATAAGAAGACACAAAGTGAACTAAAATATGTGGAGAAAATTTATTCCGAATATGATTCACAACAAACTAAATTTTAAATATGTACCTAACTCTATTTTTTCCATAAAGACCTTGTCAATTTTTGTTTGAGATTCCTAAAATAATTCTCATAATTTGATAACTCATAATGATATCATATAATTGGTGTCAAATTTTAACTTATCGTACACTCATCCATATAAGGGCTATCTCTATTACCACATTATTGTAAATGATTTTAAAATTTTAGCCTTTGTTTAGGAATAATTTTTTTAACCTAACTTCTTAGTTATTTTAGTCTGGCTAAAAAAATTCTATTTGGAAAGAACTTTTGATTTTTTTTTATAGTTTTGTGAGAGAAAAAAATAAAATAAGTCTGATTTGATTATGACATTTGTCTTATTAACTTTTAAACTTATTTTATTTTAATGAGAAATTAGTTCCAACGTACTTTTCAAACGAAACGTTAAACTATTAATCTCTAGCATTTCTTTTTTGAACTACTCTCTAGCATTTCTGACGCATAGTTCTTTTTATTTATTTATTTATTTGTTACAGGAAAATCCTCATATCCTTCTACAAGTTCAAGACAGCGCTCGAGTCAAGATCTCTAGCATTTCTAACGCACAGTTCTCTCTTTTTTCTTTTTCTTTTTTTTTTTTTGTTATAAGAAAATCTTCACATTCTTCCAGAGGTTTAAGACGGTGCCCGAGTCAAGATCACCAAAATAGTCTATTATTTGTTATAAGTTCCATTTAAGTCAAGATTTATACGATAGAAGCGAATCAAACCTATACCAAATATTATGTTATTCCTAACTTGAGAACCCTAACTAATTGCGCTAAGCCCAAGAAGTCTTCCTTTTCTTGATTATGAAAAGTTTCAATTTTTGTTATAAGAAAATCTTCACATCCTTCCATAGGTTTAAGACGGCACCCGAGTCAAGATCACCAAAATAGTTTATTGTTCGTTATAAGCTCCACTTAAGTCAAGATTTATACAATAGAAGAGAATCAAACCTATACCAAATATTATTTTAGTAGTAACTTGAGAACCCTAACTAATTGCGCTAAGCCCAAGAAGTCTTGCTTTTCTTGATTATGAAAAGTTTCAATTTTCATTCAATAGTAGAGTTCCAGCACATATTTCTGACGCACAGTTCTTTTTCTTGGATTTTGAAAAGTTTCAATTTTCATCCAATAATAAAGTCCAGCATAAAATTTCAATTTTCGCCCATATTCCCGATTCAATTTTCTTGGACTATAGTTAATGCCATTCATCTCTCTCTCTCTCTCTCCAATGCATAAAACAACTATCCATTTCGTTTTCTTCGTTTTTATAAATATTAAAAAATATTGATCTCTCTCTCTCTCTCCAATGCATAAAACAACTATCCATTTCGTTTTCTTCGTCTTTATAAGTATTAAAAAAAAAACATTGATTTTTATCTTTCTATAAAATTAATTTTAAAAAAAATTGAAAATAATTTTTTGAAGTTTTACTAAAAGGTGGATTTTTTTATTTTTATTTATTTATTTATTTATTTAATTTAAATGGTCCTAGAACACAATAATGTGTAACTCAAAAATAAGAACAAAAACAAAAATGACAACAAACAGATTTTAAAACTTATGTTAACAATGAAAAATTCTAAACAACTCATTTACTTATGGTTTTTATTTTTGTGCTAAAATAATTGTCAAAAATTTGAAAACAATATTTTGTTTTTTCCAAAGACTAAGCTGTTTTTAAACACCAAAACAATTTTTAAAAACAATTTACAAATAGGATTTTGGTAATCTCCAAAAAAAAAAAAAAAAAAAACATAAAATGAAAACACAACTAATTGAATAAAGTTAACTTCATCACACGAGGGTAGTTACAAAATCAATTCAACTGAGGGAAAGTTATAATTAATTAGTTGTGTAAAATGGTTGTGTAATCTACCTATAACAAAGCATTTGTTTATGCTGGAGAAAATGACAAGAGAGGTATAAGAAGTACAACAAATCCATTGATGCTTCTTCACAACCTGATGAGCTTTAAATAACACCCAAAAACAAAAGAACAAAAAAATAAAAAATAAAAAAATATTTTTGCCGTCCTAAATATACCTAGTGACAATGGACTTGGAGAAGATAGGATCGCATGCGACATGAAAACGGCATTGGCTTGACAATAGTATTTGTTGCTTTATTGGACACTTTGGTCTCTCTCCTTAGAATGAGAAGAATTAATTACTAAAGAACTAAACTTCAAAACTCCAAATACAAATGGCATAACTATGCTTCATCTATTGAATGTTTGGATGCGTTAGTTTGATAAATTGTTGGGATCTATTTTTAATAATTTAATGGATAACCCCAAGGCAAGTGGCCGAGCGGTAAAGCTTGGAGGATAAAATCCACAGGTCTCGAGTTCGAGTCACACTTTGGGGCCACTGGAGGTTTGCCCGGTCGTTAACTTCAGGGCCCTGAGATTAGTCGAGGTGCGCGAAAGCTGGCCCGGACACTCAGTTATCAAGAACAAAAAAATATTATTGCCGTCCTAAATATACCAAGTGACAATGGATTTGGAGAAGATAGGATCGCATGCGACATGAAAACGGCATTGGCTTGACAATAGTATTTGTTGCTTTATTGGACACTTTGGTCTCTCTCCTTAGAATGAGAAGAATTAATTACTAAAGAACTAAACTTCAAAACTCCAAATACAAATGGCATAACTATGCTTCATCTATTGAATGTTTGGATGCGTTAGTTTGATAAATTGTTGGGATCCATTTTTAATAATTTAAGGGATAACATGGTGTAGTGATAAAAGTACTTAACCTTTAGATCGAACAAATGTCACAAATAATCCCGATAATTTTCTTTTTGTATCAACTTATTTCTTATAATTTTAACTGCATCAATTCTATCTTTGATTTATTTTATTTTATTTTATATTGTGTCAGTTTCATCCAATTGATAGCACTTAGTTAAAAATTAGACTAAAATCAAGAGACAAAAACAGTCCATTCACTATTCTCAAGTGATTGAGGAGTTAACATTCCATTTACGGTCCATTCCATTTTGAATAGGGCATTTTATATTTGATTTTTATTTCAATTTCTTAACAAATGTTATTAATTAGACTAAATTGATACAAAGTAAAAAGGATAAACTACTAATAGGTCATAATAGTTGGACTTAATTCCTATCAAGTTCTATTGAAAATAAATTCCAGTAAAATCGTCATTAAAAAGAATTTTTTGTGACGATTTTTTACACATGTCGCTAAAAATTGACAATTAGTGCCTTTTTTTTTGTCACGATTTTCATAAGTTGTCGTTGAAACTTACAATTAGTGACGTTTTCTGTGAGGAATTTTTCTAACTGTCGCTTAAAGTTGTAAATTAGTGACTTTTTTGTGATAATTTTTTTAAACGGTCACTAAAACTTATAATTAGTGATATTTTTTGTGACAATTTTTAAACTGTCATTGAAAATTAACAATTAGTGATATTTTTTTAATAGTGTTTAATGAAAAATGCCATTAATTATAATAAGACCTATTAGACAATAAATCAATTTATTACGATCTACACTTAAGTCTCCCAAGTGAAAAATTAGAGGGAAAAATTAATATGGCTTATTAGTGATAAGCCCATTTCTATGGGGGTATGACATTAGATCCACATATTGATTTTTTTTTGGAAATAAAGACATAATTAATAAAATTATTTAGTAAGAAGGACATGTTAGTTTTTTGAAGAATTTTTTTTGCTATTTTTATCCTACTATTGTCGAACCACTGACAGCTAGCTGCTAGACTATCGCCGGACTCCTGTTTGTGACAATAGAAAATGGCTAAAAAAGTCACTGAAAAAGTTGTCAGAGGTGACCAACAACAGTGACTGGTGGTGGTGGTGATATGAACAAATAGAAAAATCAAGTGGATAGATAGATGACATATAAAAAAAATTGGAAAATGACACGTAAACAAATAAGTCAACGAATAGATGACACATGGACATATAGGTAGTGAAAAATCTAGAAATCCCCTAGATATTGATTTGTGATTATGTATAAATTTTAAGCAGTAAATAACAATCCCAATCAAACAATCAAGACAAATCAACAAAACGATTTTAACGTGAAAAAACCACAATTGGAGTGCCTTTAATTGTGATAAAAAAATCCATGGGCCAAAACCACAAAACAATCTACTAAGAAAACAAAAGGAATTATATAAGTCTACTCTCAATTACCTAGCGAATCTATGCCCGAATTGAACCGACCCAACCGACCCCTATATGCCTCTTCCACCATGGCCTTCACCTCAGCATTGTCTTCCCAACGTTGAATCCATAACGCCGATGTCGAATCACGACGATAAGCCACTCCAGAATCCACCAAAACTTCAGGCTCGAATTCCCCAGAATCCACCGAAGAACAACTCTATTTTTTGTATTGAATAAACAAACAATCCTTTGATTTATACTTCTTAAACCAAGAGTTGAATACTCAATCAAACATCAAAGAAAACTAGCAAAG